TTGTGCGGGTGTATAGGTGTGTGTGGGTGTATGGGTGTGTGTGGGTGTATGGGTGCGTGTGAGTGTATGGGCGTGTGTGGGTGTATGGGTGTGTGTGGGTGTACGGATGTGTGTGTATGGGCGTAAGGGTGAGTGTGGGTGAGTGAGTGAATGGGTCATTGAGTCGAGTGAGTGTCTTTGAACACGGGGCAAGATATGTGAAAAGGTGGAGAGTAGATGTTTTTAAATTGGTTTTATTATTACCGTTATATTGCTATCGTTACTTTCGTCATTATCACTATTCTGTGTTTGTTAATTTTTGCTGTTAATATTATAACAATAATTATTGTTATTGTTGTTGTCACTGTCAGCGACACCTCTATTACTGTTGTTCTCATTATTATTTGTTATTGTATATCAGTCAACTGTCATTTCTGCTAATTTATTATTATTGATCTGAAACAAGTGCAAAGTAAGTTGAGTTCTGGCGCGGAAAAAAACGACGATTCTTTCATGTGGCACGAGAAAAATTTTCAGGCAGAACAGCTGAATGCAGTGCACGAGCCGCCGAAAATCATATTTAAGGGCGATCCAGTGGAAGAATTAATTGGTATAATCAAAACTGGGAATTGGCCGCTTGCAGAAGCTGGCCTTGAAGTTGGTTCTTTTTTTTTTTTCAAATTGTGCAAGTTTCGGTGTTAAAGTGTGCTACTCTTCAAAAAAAAAGACCTCGTTTGCTGCATATGCAAAGCGATCATGCTTGTTCGAGATGAATACATTGCCCGTTAGTATTAACTGATTCAATGTTTTCATGAATTCTGGTAGTTAATGACGATAACAGGGTCCTGTTGTTGAAGAACTTCAGATACCAACTTGAATAGTGCAGGAAGAATAAGTACATGAACCAGAAGTCGTATGGTTACAATGAGTATTCCTTCGGGTGCGAGACTTACAACCGTGTTCGTTCTTCATTGAATTCTTACAAGTTTTAACCTTAATCGAGCAGGAGAAATAGGTAAAGGTTAAATCACGTAAGTGTTGTAGAAATTTTAAAGATACAAACCGGGAATATTCTTGGCAAGAAGACTGCTTTTGATGACTGTTCTTCCCTCTGCAGTATTAATTTATGATTAATTTACATTCTTAGAGCCTCTCAGATTTAAAAAGTAGATTTTGGCTAAAAATGATTGGAAGAAAACGAATGGGATAGGGTGATGCCGGTTTGGTATTTCAAAAAGTTTCTTCATGATTTTTGAAGGTACTAGTTTTGCAGAAGCTGACATCACCATCCTACTTGAAAAATCATATGCCTTCGGATTTCGAGAAATTTTTTGTGGAAATGATTACTGTCGCTTTATCTGAAGGTGCTCACATAAATACGCCATTGAAGATTGCTTTGTCACAGGTTTTTTTTCTCCGTCAATGTTTTCGTTAGAAATTGTCCGGACACTCTCTCACAGATTATAAACAGAACCAAAATTTCATAATTCCGGTTGAAATATTAATTTCTGTATGTGTAACAGAGGTTTCAGTCATTAATATCTCCAGTTTACCTCACAGTCACTTAACGTTTGCTCGTGGAATGGCGTTATTAATGCATGCTGTTTTAAACTTATAATTATCACCCAACAGCAAATGAATATTGAGGCCCAGTTTTATT